CTTTTTATCCATATTCCTGGCAACTGTGAGGCAGGAATTTTCTTACCCACCCTCATATCCTTACTTACAGTGTTTTTCTCAGTCTTGTCTATTCCACAGGCTATAATCAAAGTTTTATTTGCATTGCCTGAGGGTATGTGCAGAGCATGTAAAATAGAAATTCAGGAGACACATGGCTGGTCTCGACAGGAGGAGCTGAGGCAGATGGGCACAGAGGACAGCTATATTAATGATAAAATCGTCACAGATCTGCCCTGAAAACTGCTGCAGTCTTATTGTTTAGGATTTAAAGTCCCTGTAAGGCAAGTGGAAATGCATGGTCTGTAAATGAGAGAGAAGCTGCATGCAGTGTGAGTCACTAGTGCAGAGTAAATAATTTTTTTTATCCCATTTTTTGCACTGTTCTGAGTAATTCTGTTGCTTTCTGAAGGTTATTGAAGCGCAAAAATACTAATTCTTGCTTAATTATCGTGCGAATTCAAGCTTGAGCCCTGTCGAAAAAAGATGGGGTTTTTTGAGTTGATTTGTTTGGTTTTTTAATCAGTCCAGCCAAAGAAGTACCGAATTTCTTGACCTGGAGTCACTCTGAATGCATTTCTGCTTAAAGGGTATGGTAGACCTCTACTCTGCAGCTGTCAGGCATCACAGGAGCGCTGATGTACACCATCAGTTTGCGAAAGGGGGGTCTGGACTTAGCAAAAAGCAGTTGTGAGGGTTGATTTAACACACCTCCCGTCTGACTTGGAGTCACCGCTAAGGCAGGACTGGTCAGAGCTGTTACTCCATTGTCGGTTCTTTCTAATTAAGGTTACTGGGGATCTTTTTTCCTGCAGCTTCACAGTGGTCCCAGCTGGCGTAGCCCACCTCCTCTTTCTGCAGAGCATCTCAAAGGCTGCGCATCCTTTGCCTGCGAAGCTTTGTGCACTTCCAGCCACTGCCGTGTTGTTTTCTGATCTCTCTGCATGTCTCTCAGTCTCTCTTTAAAAATTAATATTGATTACATTTGGATTTTTTTCTTTCTTGTCGCTTTGCTTTGTGCCATGATTTGTCATGAAAGAAGGATGGGCAAAAGTTCAGGGTTGAAGAGAGTTATGAGGGGGAAGAGGAAGGGAAGAGGTTACATGTGCTGATGGCCCGAAGACTATGGGGCACGAGACACTTGGAAAGTAAAAGGAAAACTCAGGAAAGAGGGAGAAAAGAAGGGATGTGGTGAGCACCTGGTGCGACTAACTGCACTGTTGCTCATGGAGTAGGGTGAAATGAGGGCAGTGGGGGAATTTCCACCAACGTGGGCCATCCGGGGCCCCAGAGCTCTGGTCCTCATCCCGAGCTGCCCCGCCAACGGGGACTTGGAGCCAGGCGTCCGCAGGATTTTTTTGATGCCACACGCGAAGCACGAGATCTCCAGGGGCCGCAAGGTGAGCTGGATCGTGCCTGGGCTCTCTGATGCCTTTTAATGTATTATTCAGGTCTTGTTTGCACTCTGGTGACTTTTCCTCCTTTCGATAAAGCTGTTATCTAAAAACTGGTAGAGCCGGTGGAGCCTTGACTTTTACAAGGTGCCTTGTCTGATACTAAAATACAACACCAATAATCTTACCTGACTGGAAAAAAAAAAGGCAAACAAAAAATACCCCTATCTCTGCAGCCAGTATAGTACAGGTTTTAAATTTTCTGGTGATTTTCTTTGTAAACTGCTCAGCAGGGTATTATTCAGGCAGCTGCATCGAGGGACTAATATAACATGTGTTCTCAATTTTGGACCCTTTATGTTGGGAATTTTCCATTGTGCAATTGCATTAAATCTGAGGCGGCTGACAAGAGCACGATGTTTTCTAACTCTACACAAGGTTAAATGACTGAAATAAAAATAGATGGAAAAGAAAACAAAGTAAAATAAGTTTGCTTTCTCATGTAATGGCAGGCAGTAGCATGAGGTCAGGGGCTTAATGATAGCCCAGCCATTAGTCAGGGACCGTGAAACAACTGATCCTTCCTAAATCACTTTGGAAATTATCTTCTGGTTCAGATATTCATCCTTTTTCATTCACACAGATCACATAACCAAGAAGACTGTGTTCAAAGTTATCATTTTTATATAAATTGTGGTAATAATGACTGTATTTGTGAAGCATTTTACTTTCTAAATGCCGGGACTGTAGGATGTTATTTGCAGTATTTTCCTTACTAGGAAATGTATGAGGTTTACTACTGCCTGTAGGAAAAATACACGCTGTGCTGCTGTCACAGGAAAGGGGAAGGCAATCTGCGGAGCAGTAGGGTGGTCTTGCACGCAGGAGAGGTGATGAATTTACAAATGCAAATGTCAGGCCCAGACGGCAGCTCGAGGTAAAGCCGGAGCTTTGATCTTCAGAGAGAGGCATCAGCTGGGTGGTGGATCACGGAGCCTCGTGTGCGGCACGTGGGTCTCTCCTGCAGCACATCAGGATCCTTCTGGAGTTGGTTTTGGCTCTATCGAACAGGGCTTTCACTTTTGCCCCAGTTTTACATCTCATAGGTTTTGTTTTCAGCCCAAATTTCAAAGGTGGCTGTTCTTTTTCTCTCTGAAATTTAGATAAAATGTCAGACCAGCGTTAGCAGGTACCAGCCCTCTAGTCTCTTGATTGTCAGCACGATGCTGCCTGAACATTTGTTAAGGAAAGTTTCCTACATAAAAGCAAGCGAGGATGCCATTTATCGCTATCATTTTCTTATTGAATCAGAGCTTTATGCATTTGTAGAGTTACTAGCTTTTGTTCAGGTAGAGAATGAGGTGACCTCAAATGCTAAATCCCATTTTGTTCTGCTCAAATGACCAGCTGCACCCCACTACAGTAGTCTGTACCCTCATTATTATTATTTTGTTGTCTTTGTGTTTTGGATACTGGTATTTTCCTTACCGAATCCTCTGGGGCTAGAGCGGGTCTTTTCACCAGGGTGTAAGGCCAGACACCTACATCCGAACAGGGTGGGCATCCGCCCGGCAAGCGCCCCTTCCAGCACGGCCTTCATCACACCCTCCGGTGCAACCCCGTTTAGCCTTCAGAGGAGGGATTTCTTGAGCAGGCTCAAGAAATTTTGCATTTTGCTCGGGATCCTGGAGGACGGGTTCCTCTCATGTCCCGTTGTTAGGTGAGCCATTGAGTTGTGCAGTTAGCACGGTTTTTTGCAACAAATGGGAAACTAGATCCATTTAGGTCTGCAATGTGTCAGTCAATTGCAAAAAGTAATATATATATATATATATGTCTGCCTGTCTTGTGAAAAAATAGCTCTAGTTTAGAGCTGTGCAAGACAGACCATTAAGTTAAAAATAAATCTTCAGAACACGGTGCATCTAAACACAACTTGTTTATTACTGGCTATTTTATTTATACCAGTCATGGGATATTCAACTACTGACATGGGAACGGCAAAACATACTTTTAACTCTGGATTTGGACAGCGACACAACAAGCGACAGCTATGTGAATTTAGCTTTAAGACCATAGAACACAGACTTAAACCCTAATATAGCTCCCCAGGAACAAACCCGGGGTCAGGATGCCGCTGATGGTGGGCAGTGCTGGAACGCCCCATTGCCACCATTTTCATTAAAACTGCGTCTTTGTCTGAGTAAAACGCGCAAGCAGAGATGCATCACTTTGTAACACTGCTATTGGTTGAATTTCATTGCTTCTTCAGAGCACCCCAGCTGTGGCTGCACTTTTTTTTTTTTAATGAATAATCAGATGTAAATTAACAACAGAGGTGAAAACCCAACCATGTGCTTCTCTGGTCTACCTAAAAGGAAAAGAAAACAGCCATTAAGTTAATTTTCTTTACTGTTGAGGGATACTGGAGTACCTTTTGTAAAAATTTTAGCAGCGCTATGTAATCTAAACTGAGTGCCAGGCACGTTCTCCTTTCATGTTTATTAGTGTTTAGCTAAAGGCTTAATTGCCATCTTTCTATTTGAAAATACAAATGAAATTGTGGCATCTGGTCCAAAGCCCGTACAACGAATATTTGTAATAGATGGAGTTTTCATGAATACAGCTCACAGTAGCTGGAAGGGGAAAATATAGAAAATGCATGGTCTTAATGGGGTCTGCTCTGCTCAACATTCATTCCACTCTGCATCAATAAAGGAAAGGAAATGAGGAAAATAAAAACTGTAGTGTTCGCACTTGAAAAACAGCCAATTATTCCAATATTTTCCTGCCACTTTAGCCAACAAATACTATGCCTGTTGGATATGGTGCTCAATGACTAATTACCTTTTCTGTGTATTTAAAGGTTAAAGTAATTAAAAATGTATCATCTTTTCCTCTTTTCAATTAAAAACAAACAAACAAACAAACTGACCTCGGTTCTTGAGGAGATGAGGGGAGCGAGCTCTGTTTTACTCATGCACGGTCCAGTGCAGCAGTTTCACTTCACAGAAGCAGCGAGTGGGCGCTGGGGCTAATTTGTACTGTTATTACTTTTCTTGGCCTTTAAGAAAAGCCGGCTCTCCCTGCCATTAGTAATAGGAAGAACATTTTCCTGCTAATCATTTTTTTCCTACCTGAACAGAAGATCGACAAGTTGCTTCAGCTTTGCCATCACTCATCTTGCTGCCATCCCATGCAGGAGCAAAGTAGAGTGATGCCGAGAGAAGTCCCCACGCCAGGCAGGCGCTCGTATGAATGCAACCTAAAAATTTGCCCAGATAGCTGCAATGTGAGATAGCGTGAGTGGGGAACAACTCTGTAATCCCAGCTGACGAGAGAGGAAATCTAATAGACTTAAATAGCTTTAGGAGAAAGCTGCCAGATACGATGACCGCCTAGTTCACGGCAGTGATGGAGTACAAGCTGCTGCAGTTAGGTACAAGTACAGCCGCTGGTCCTTATGGCCACAGGCAGCAACTGGAGAAAACTTGCAGTATAACTGCAGAGAGATGTATGTATGTGTGTGTGTATATATATCTCCCTGATGTATTTGTTTTGCTTCCCATTCCCGTCTATTTTTTCCAGGTACAACTTGTTTGATCGCACTGTTGTCAGATAAAGAACTCACAGTGGCCAACGTTGGTGATTCGCGAGGAGTCCTGTGTGACAAGGATGGGAATGCTATCCCCTTGTCACACGATCACAAGCCCTACCAGCTGAAAGAGAGGAAGAGGATTAAAAGAGCTGGTGAGTTGTAACATTTTTGCTTTGGATTGAAGGTTCATCTTTTTCTTCTCTACTCTGTCAATAATACAGACTTTTCCCCTGAGAGAGACTGAAAAGTACTAGACTGAGGCATCAGCAGATAAAATCTTCCATTATTAATACAGCACTTTTCAGTGGGATGTCATGGTGCAGACAGAGAAATGGAAGCAGATTGACCTACACCTTAATGAGCCAGTGTCAGAGTGAGAAGCGCGGCCTTCATCTTCAACAGCCACTTGACCATCCCAGCCAGTTCCCTTGTGATCTCTGCAGGGAGTAAATTAATAAACAGGAGCAGCAGCATTACAGGCTTCTTCACACCGAACCGTATCAGCAGCCTTTATGTGAGAGGCCGGCCCTGAAGCTGAGTGAGGTTTAGTTCCTAAAATAAGCAGAGCATGACTCTAATTCATCAAAGCTATTTTTTGTTCCCATATAGTGACAGCTAATGAGCACAAACATGTAAATTGTAGCAGGAGTGTAAGGAAAGAATATAAGAAACAGAAACCTTTCTGCAATAAATCTTTCTAGCTTTCATCACTTGTCAGTTTAGCGACCTCCTGGGCTAGAAGTTACATTTGGATTATCGAGTTTAATAGCCAGTTCTCCATGAATTTGTCAAAGTCTCTTTTGAACCCATTTCTGGTTTGGCTCTCGCAGCACCCTGCAGCAGCGAATTATTTGATGAAGAAAAAAGTTCCTGTTGTTTGTGTTAACTCTGTTGCCTCCAGAGATGCGTTGCCTCTCTGCCTCCACGTCTTCGTCTGTAAAGTGGAAATAACAAGTTTTTCCCTGAGCGTAAAACATTTTTAAAACTTACGGGTTATCAGTAGGCTCACACAGACACAAATGCCCGTACGTGCACAGTGTGCGCTTTCCTCTCATTTTCCTTTTATCGTCGAGGAGGCGTAGGAGCAGCGGGGATCCTGCTGCTGGGCAGAGAGCTGAGGCCACATACATTCCCCAAAGGGGAAGAAAACTTATGCAGAACCTAATAAGAAGGAATAGGAAAATCTTGGGCTTAACTTTGCTTCAACTCTGTACTCAGGGGATGTATAAATAAAATCTGGACATTTTTCTGTAAAATTGCTTCCCTCTTAGTCCAGGGCCTGTATGCAATTGTTCACTTAGAGAAGGCCTTCACTTAGGAGAAAAAAATAATTTATTTCATTTGTCTAGAAGTGAGGCTTTGTAACACAGCAACATGTAAAATTAACCTGGATTTTTGCAGGAATTTCGAACTTGGGAAGAAATTATTGTAATAGACAGGTAAATGTTATAACTATCTGCAGCTAAACAAGAAATATTCTACCTAGCCTAGTGACTTAATGAGTTCACTTCTCTGTTACCTGTTGCCCCATTGTATTATCATGATCGATATGGCCTCGTGGTGCTGTTAAAAACATATGATCCAGTTTATACAACTGCAGGATACTTCTATATTTTGGAACATCCCTTCTTTACATGCAGTAAGTGTAAAATTGAAGCAAAGTGCCCAAACTGAATTATCAAGCCTACATTGCTACTATGACAAAAGTACCTGACTGTTTTTCCTCCAGCTAGATACTTTCTTCTCATGTAGAACTGAAGAAAGCGACAATAACCACATTATTACAGTACATTTTGGGTTTCCAACTTCACATTGCACCATCAAGCTGCACTGTCCACTGCTCTGTAGGTAGTTATAAAATGACTGCATGTTTGTGCTAGTAGGATGAGATTTCATTTAAAAGTGAAATCCAATAGCCACGGTTGAGAAAATATCCTTCAGACCTCATTCTGATATAAATCAATTTGAGGCAGCCTGAAACAGCAGCTCAAAGAAAAGCGTGACTTGCCCTGTGCGTTTCAGCGGGGCATCAACATTGGGATGACAAGTCTAAACTCAGCCGTCATTTTTTGCTGCCGTGGTGGACGTTAAGGACGCTCGCTGCTTGCTGCTCTCAGCGGTCTGTGGATGGGGAATGAATCCAGTCCCCCTCCTTCGCCCCCTCCCAGCAACTGCGCACAAAGTCTTAGTCAGCCCACAACCTTAAAAAAATTCCCATTTATCGGTCTGACATGACTCGAGCTGCTCTCACGCTGGAGCCGATGCTCAGGTTTCTGCTGGGAGGTCCTGCAGTGCAGCGAGAGGTGACTGGTACCCAACCTCGCAGCCAAATGCCAAACGGAGAGGCAGCAGCTAAGAGAACAGAGCAGGGCCCTCCATTTTGAGCTGAGGTGGAATCACCTGCTCCGTGGCATGGCTAGGCAGTTAAGAGCCACGGTCCGCGGGCTCTGGGTCAAGAGAGGCTGTTACTTTCACCAGAGGCCGGCTGATGCACGCCCACAAGTGCTGCGACACCGCTTGTCTCGCAGCTGAATGACAGCGGGGTCCCACCGCTCTGACCCGTTCCTGCGGGACAGAGGAATGTATGTCCTGCGACACAGAGATGCTGGTTTCCTCAGAAAACAAAAGGAATCTCCTTCTTACATACATTCGCTTGAGCAATGTATAGAGTATCAGCATAAGACAGTGGCCTTGAAACAACCGTGGGTTTGGCTTGTGAAGAAACACTCAGTCACAGAGCCACAAGGTGACTGTCACTGATAGAAATTTAAGTCATTCACCTTGAACATAATCCTCTGAGCTCAGCTCTCACTAACATGCAAAATGTTTGTGCGGTTGCCAAAAAAGCTTCTATTTCTTTAATGCCTTTTCTTCTCCAGTGGCAGCCGGCGCTGCAGAATGTTTGCTTTTCTGTGAGCATTTCCATGTATTCTGTATGGATGGCTTTGTAAAGAAAATATTAGAAGTGCCAACAGACACTTCAGCAAACCGCAGGAATCCAGCTCGTGCCATAGGCAGTTCCAAGCGCCACGTGAGAATGGCACCAAAAGCTCACTTTGTACGCGTAAGCACGACCTGCAAAGCATGGAATAAGCCGCTGCAACGAGTCAGCAGCAGCAGCTACCTCCTCTGCCGGTGCAGTAACGGGCGCGGGCTTTGCTGCCCTCTAATTGTGCGTAAAACATCTACTTAAAACTGCCTCTTCTGATTGCATTTTGCTTCCCCTGTCATTCCAATACATACACGTGATTACAGTCCAGTTTTACTACAGTGCTAATGGCTTATGAAAAAGCCCTGGGCTGGTGAGTAGGTGGCTGCGTAACATTCAACCCCCAAAACCTGCAGCAGCAGCCGGATGAGGTTTGTTTGAGTGCACAGCTCGAGAAGAGCTGCAGGAGGCTCACGAGTCCTTTTTTTTTGTCCATGGAAGGAAACATCTTCATAGTGGAGACTCCATAGAAGTATTCATGAATCACTCAGCTAAAAAGTTTTGTTTCTGCTGGTTTTAACACAAATCAAGTCTCAAGCTTTAAACAACAATGAATCATTAAATGAAATGTAGTTTCACCTGAAAGCAGAAGGAATTTAGAGATCAGATCAGCCAGCCAGGAATGGAAATGCTATCTCCAGCTTTGGGTGACCAGGGGACTGACAAACAGCGCGTAGGCTGAAGTGCAGAGCTGAAGACATTCCGATAACTACAAAGGACGACGACATTTATAAGAACACCAGAGCAGAGAGCTTGCAGACATAAAAGACGACAGTTCACCTAATTTTCTTGTACGTTTTAATGTTCCATGTTTGCAAATAACGTGTCCTCAGGTGACTTTTCATTCATGTTAAGACGGCAGGAATATTGCTATGAAACAGTGCCGACAGCGGCCCACGGGTGCGTGCACAGGAATTGAAGGTGCCTCAGTTTTACTCTCTGACCCTGACCGCTGTGCAGTTCCCTCCCAGACTGTGTAGCAGCCAGGTGCTGGCTCTATCAGAGTCATCGGTTTCAGTGCAAAACATATCTCACTATAAGCAACCGCTAAAGAAAGTATTTTCCACTAGAAGTAGCCTTAATCCTGGTGATGGTAAAATCAGTCAGTCAGGTCTCACATTGCATTTTTCTGACTTGAAACATAATTTTATGATCGGTTTGTTCAAAACAGGTTTTGGGGATTTATTCAGAACAATGTTTTGGTTCTTTTTGACACAGCTCGTTCAAGGCAGTTTGGTACAAGCGCCTATAAATGTTTTTGCACTTGATTCTTTGCTTATGCCTTAAAAGTGAGATGCGAGTCCTACCGCAGGGTGTTCTCGGTATTGTTTCCTTCCTAGATCTCCTGAAATGGGGCAGATGTGAACTACACAGATAAAGGAGGTGTTTACTAACACAGGAATATAAAGATTTGCTTGCCATATTTTGCCTTAACATTGCCATGAGGCTTTCTGAACAGAAAGTTGTGTAGTGCAGGAATAGCTGTGTTCAGTAAGTCATCGGTCTCTGGGGGAGCAGAGAGCGTGAAGCTGTTTTGTTTGAAAGCAGAGCCAGTCCCGACTTCTCTGCTTCGGCTGTTTCTACGGCACCAGCAGCCACAATCCAGCTCTTCCCTGCGGCACTCCGAGATTTACTTAAGGCATTCCCTGCTTTTTGAGATATGTAACGTGTGTATACCTCAGGGTGCCGCAGGATGAATTTTTGGGTGGGTCTGGCAGGAAGCCAGAGAAATGCTTTAACTTTAAAAAGAATTGCTTTAAGTGTTGGTGTTTCTCTCCAGGTGGTTTTATCAGCTTTAACGGCTCCTGGCGTGTGCAGGGGATCCTGGCCATGTCCCGCTCGTTAGGAGATTACCCTCTGAAGAACCTGAATGTTGTCATTCCCGACCCCGATATTCTTACCTTTGACCTGGACAAACTGCAGCCAGAGTTCATGATCTTGGCGTCGGATGGTCTGTGGGATGCCTTCAGCAACGAGGAAGCTGTCCGATTCATCAAGGAACGCTTGGATGAACCGCACTTCGGTGCAAAGAGTATAGTTCTACAGTCCTTCTACAGAGGATGCCCTGATAATATAACAGTGATGGTGGTGAAGTTCAGGAATAGCAGCAAAACAGAAGAACAGTAATTACCAGTGGTTCTCTGCCTCACTCTGAACTTACTACAAACTCTTACATTTTAAACATAGTAGAAAGCTCTAGTAAATACCGTTAAGATTCTACACAAAAGGAACAGATCCCTCTGGTCTTTGTTCTTTGCTTAACAAAAGGAGCAATACAACAAATACATTCTGAGCGATTGTAAGAATTAAGTTTTTTCCCATGTACCTGTCTCCTGTGACCTTGCTGCTCCTTAGAAACTAACTGTAATCTTCCATTTCAGAATTTCCTTTACAAATCCTGCGTAGATTTTTCATTTGATTCCGTACCTCTCACTGCTAACAGTCAAAGGTTCGATCAGAGGCACAGCAGGGTCAGGGCAGTGCTGCTGCTTAATAGCAAGCGATAGGAACCGTGCTGCTTTTCACTCGTAGGTGTGACTTCAGAACGATGCTCTCATGTTTCTCATCTCTTTTCATTTTTAATCTGCAGGGATAAGGTTGTATGAGAAAAGGTTTGCAATTATTAGCCTGCTATTGATAGGAAGGAGGAAGAGGAGCCAACTATTAGCCTGCTACCACACAACTGACTCTCATTTTGTTCAACCTCCCCCCTTAAACAAATCCCTGCTAAGCATGTGATTAGGTATGGTTACCGAATTACCTGCAGCCACATCTTTGTTCAGTCTGTGCATTACTCTAATACCATTTCTTCTATGCCATATTGTATTTAACCAACTAATGTTAAACTCCAGCAAAATACTCTGAGGTCTGACACCTAAATCAAAAAATAGCTCTGTGGTGGTAGAAGAAAGTCTGTCATTCACCAAGATTCACCGTTACATTAGTTTTTTGGCATGGACTTTTCATAGGCATGTGAAGAAAGCAATGCAAGATAACATTAATGTCATTAGTGACTGTTTGGAAAACTAATCAAACCAGGGCATTCCTTAGAGCTACCTAGCTGCGAGTCGAGCCTGTTAAAGACTTCCTTGTACCACTGCAGATTACCTTGTGGTGTTAATCCAGGGGAAGACCACTTGAGAACCGGTTTTTGGTATAATATATAAATGCCAGGCAGTGTCATTGCACTGTAGAGATGACGGCTTGTGTTAAATCTAGATAAAAATATGTTTAGATCTAACTTTCAGTATTTAATGTATTTTGGAATCTGTGTGACAGGGCAATGCATGTTAGAGGAACAGCGCCAGGGCCGGAGTTGGAGGTTGGTGTTTTGGACGGCTTGCTTACTCGTATCGTGTCTTATAACAACCCTGGGGATTCCCTCCGCACAAAACGTGGTCCTGGGTGATCTGCTGAAGTCTCTTGTCTTCAGGGTGATGGAGGTTGTCAGTATTTGGGTCCTGAGGTGAATCAGAGATGTAATACATTAATGTTGTCTGGTTCTTGGGTAAAGATACATTACTTAGGTAAAAAAGCTGCCTGTTTCTCATCACCCATCTATAGTCCTTTCTGGGCCAGTGGCTTGCTGGTCCCTAAAATATTGGGATGTGCTGTGGTTGTGCTGAGCGGGTACGTGTCTCTGAAGACAAAAATGAAAGAGCAAAAATTCCTCTTTCTGCTCAAGAAGGAATTCCCATCTTAGTCTTGTCATTTTTGTTCCTAGGTCATCGCTTCCCCAGCAAACGTCCCTCTTTTAGTTTGTTTGGATATAATTACAACTCTTAATTGGATCTGTTGCTATTATCAGCGCTATTCAAATTGTGTATGTACCAGGAGCAGAAGTATGGAAGTGTCCAGCATCCTCTGAAACCAGCAGGCACCCGGCCTGCACTGGTCTTTCACGGAGGATGGAAGGCTTTGGACTTTTTAAATCTTTTGAACAGTGCATTCAGTGAATTTTAAATGCAACTTTGCAGTTAAATTGAGCAGCTAACAGGAAACATTAGCAATTGCAGAGCGCTTCAGTTATTTTATTTTGAAAAGGTATTTGAGGTCAGAACGCTGTGAAATGAAAACCTCGTGTGATATTTTCATGGGAGTGCTTAATCATGTACTTATAGCAGTATTGAAACTGTGCTCCAGGCAGAGCTCGTGGCGCACGTAGCGTTTGCCTTTCCTTTCCCCTTCACAGATGATGTTTCCGTCGTACTGGCTTCTCTTTGTAGGACACTGCCGGGATGTCTGTCAAACAGCTGCCCAGGGAAAAGAAGAATTAGACCCAGCAGCCCACAAACTCTAAAGCAGAGGGACGCTTGATAGAGAGACATCACTGCTAATCCTCCACAGGCATTTGAGAAGTTGGAACTGGAACAACGGTCAGCTCCAAAAAAACATTATAGACTAACGCCACTTGAGCTAAAAGCTCACGGCTGCCACAAAGCCTCCCGCAGTTCAGGTTCTTGAGGTTAGTGAGTGTCACTGAGGGATGCCCGACCTTCTCCTGAGCACAGCTAGCTTCCCGGTTGCTCTGGCACTCAAGACAGACAGGAGAACGAGGTGGCAGGAATCGTACGCATTCACAGGCTCCCGAAGCAGCCA